TGCCCAAGGAGTAGGGCAGGAATTCACCTTCAAGAGTCTCCTCCCAGGCCAAAAATATCTGTTCTTTTCACATCAGCATCACAAGCAAAGCTGGAGGGAGGGCTCTGAGGAGGGGGATGTTTCTGCCCAGTTTTGAGCAAGAGACCTTTGCGAGGAACATGTAATAGCTGCCAGACTACAGAAATCAAAGGAATTACATAAAATAAGGTCATCACCAGTCAAGAGCTAGTGAGTGGTTAAGCTTATAGCTGGTTCTGTCAAAAGTTGGCTCTCAGCTTCTATAAGCAGAAAATGCCATACTATAGCTAAGGAGAAACTCCAGTACCTCTCCTGAAGCAGGGGCAACATGGGTGCTCTGTGGGGAGGTAGTCCAGCTGGAAAGTCCACATGTGTTTGGTGCAGAGGCTGGCTGGTGTAATTCATAAAAACCACAGCTGGAATGAATGGAAGTCCCTTCAGCCCCCTCCTGAAGTACAGCCAGTGTTGCAGCCCTCTTCCCACTGCTGGCCTTTCATGGGGCAATAGAGTGAGTGAATCATGGCGCCAGTAGGAGTAGGGCACACAGTGGACCTGCTGCACTGGTCTTCAAGAAATGTGTGGTCTTCTCTATATCCATTTTCCTAAACTCCTCTTTCCACATGGCTTCACTAACTAATTCATTAAAAATATCCTTTGAAAATAGAAAACAAAACCCAAAACAAACAAAAATTTTAACCATAGTTTTGTTTGTTCCTCCATTCATGTGAAAATGAATTGACTCACAACTACAGTTATTTTCTATGTTGTCCTCATTACTTTCCAAAACCAAGTCATTTGGATCAGAAGCCACAGGTCGTGCAGGTGAAAGGGATCCATTCTGGGCTCGAAGTGAAGCTGATCAGCTCTTCTGGCAATAAAAGTTGTGAACAGGTCCAGCATGGCTCTGCACTCCCAGCACAAGAGGAGCGGGGAAGTCCCTGGTGGTTTCTTCAGACAGCTAGCTAATTGATACTTTCTTCTATGCTTGGCTGTCCTCATGAACCTCTGAAGATGGGAGCTTCTGCAAAGTATACTGGTATCTCTGCATTCGAGAGTGCCAGCAGTACAGACTTTGTGGCACTAAAGATGAACAGGTGTTTGAACAACATCATGCACATTACTTGTCACATTTTTGTGGCACTGCAATTTTCACGGAAATTGTTAAGACTTCACATGAATGCAATAGGACTTTCAGCTCGGGGCAATTTTTCAAAGAAAGATACTACTGCCCTTACATGCTATCTATAGGAATTAAAAAAATGGAGATTTGTTATTTATATATACATATATAACTGAAAAATACTATGAGCCATTCTAAATGAATCAGAGAATACTTTCAAGGGACACGTCTACATGAGAAGACTAATTTTACTGCGTATTAGCGTGGCAGGAAAAACCCATGCTAATGAGATAATGCACAACAGATTTAGTCTAATGCACATTAACATCATTAAAAAACTGTTTATTTGCATTGATGTGCAATAGCACTGATTACAGTGCATTAAGTTAGTACCTGTCATTACAGGTCCTAAACTTAATGCGCTGTAATTACAGCTCATTAATTAACATGTAGGCATGCCCAAGGTAACTTAAACAAAGTATGTAAAGCTGTTAATGTGTTTAATGGAGGAGGGAAGAGTTCAGACTGTTCTGCTTGAAGAGTGGTTTAAAAAGCTCAGGGACAGAATCCAAAAAATAAGGCTTAGACAAAAAATGTAGTCAAAACCATTCCATTTAAAGACTAGTAAGCATATGGAAGTTGCTTAGAGAAACTAGTGAATCATATAGCCTAAATAAGCTTAAAAGACAGTTAAACATTTTTATGAAGAAGTGGGTTGAAATATACGGCAGGTTGATATGGTTGAGATAAGTAAAAGGGACATATTTGTTTTTACACAAGATTGTCTCAGTAATATTTTTTAAATATCTCCACTCCAATGACTGTTTTAAGGTTTCTTTTTCTGTTCCCTTCATCAAGGTCAAGTGTCCAGGAAAAGCTCTAATTTTCACTGTCTTCTAAATTTAATAGCATCTTATCCAGGAAAAAGCAAAAGTTGCCATGTATAGATCTCAGGCCTCAGAATCACATTTTTTTCATAATACTGGATAGATCTGGGCTTTTCCTCCATGGTTTTTTTTTCTCTTGTATGCAAGCTGTAAAGTGGGATAGGTTTTTCAGGGTCCTAGACACAATCTAGGCTCGTCACATTAGATATTTTTTCATGATATTTTTCCATTGTTGCTATCCCTGGTGGAGCTATATTCCTAGCTGCACACATTAAGTGGTCGTAGGTGGCCCAAACCAAAGGAGGGCTAAGTGATCAAGTATTTAAAATGCAGTAGCATTACTACTACTACTGTTACCATTAGTGGGCCTATGCCCTTATAGATAGTACTGGTCGGAAATGGTTCACAAAAGAGTGCAGACACAGATTCAGGTCAAAGTTTTCAAAACCAAAAGCCAAAGCTAGGCTCTTGTCTGATTCTAAAAATGCTGAGCACCTAATAACTATGACTGACCTCAGATCTATAAAGTAACAGCTTTTTAAATCTATTTCAACAAGCACCACCAGACCTAAAATTTTATTATAAAATAATAGATTTCTGTCCTGGAGCACAACCTGAAATGTTAAAAGAGCAAATGCTTCTGACTCCCCTTTAAGCTGTTTTCTGACAAGTTTTCCATCTCCTTTTTCTAGAAGTCAATTTTTCTTTATGAAAAATAAGATTCTCATATTACTTTTCATATTTCCCCCTCCCCCCTCACACCTGACTCATTTGAAAAAACAAATCCCATTTCTCTATTTTATAAGGAAAAAAGTACACATATTCCAATACACCTCACAGTAAAATCAATGGTAAAACAATAATTGATTTCACTGGGAGCAAATTGCAATAACAAAGGGTGAATCTCTCTGTACCTGTATGGACCTTATTGTAGGTTTTAGTCTGTACAAAGTACTAAGTATACTCTTCAGTATTCATTTTATTACTTAGGAGTTAACAGGAAGCAACAAATGGATACTGCTCTGCTTTTTAATTCCACATGAAAAAGGGATACTCTTGCTGTTTTTATATGTATTTTTTTTGCACCAAGAAAGATTCATGCAAGTACCTCCTGCTGATATTAAGCAATTCAATTCCTGAATTGAATTCATCTGAGCCAATCGCATGAGTTGTTTTTTGATGAATAGGACCCCTCATCTAGAGATGATGACAAATGCAAACTTCGGAATAGGTCCTTGCATTATTACAAAAATAAGCAATAGGAATGGTTGACTAAATTTGCTTACTAGTCTTCTTCCATTTTGACCTTTGCCTGACTTGATGTGCACAGCATGCTGCTGCACAGGGTGCAACAGTACGAACTAGGTTTTTTAATCCTTTTCTAAAAAGGCACCTGTTTTGTTTAGATTAGGAAAAAAATTCCTAATCGTATATTTTAGCCTTTTGAGAGTCCACTTCATTTTCAGGTCTGTTTATGTTCTATAGAAGTCTGGAGATGCTGTCCCTTCTTAGCATACACAACAGAGAAACTTAGATCCATGTTCATACAGTTTCATTAAGAAAAAAAAATCAAATACTGCATCTTTATACAGATCAATGTCCAATTATAAGCTGAGAGTCACTGTGGTAAAAGGTCAGGAAAAAATAATCTTTCTGGCATTTATTACTTGGGAAACAAGGTCCTGTGTGAGGTCAACCCTCAAATATATACAGAATAAATTATACTGCAGCGCTCTAAATATTCTACACAGCAAAAATTATATTGCAATCTCAACATGATCAGAAAAATGAAGCACAGCATGTATTTGCTGATGAATATACTACAGATCAGACTATGCTAGAGGCAAAAATCTAGTTCCAATTAATCACCAATTAATAAAAATCTTATAATGTATGTCTGCTTAATTATAAATATAGTTTCTCATTAAGAATGGCTTAATTAATCAAATTTTAAATATCCTAACTCTGTGAATCATCTTCCATAGAAGAAACTAAAATGACTGACAGGTATGTGAAGTAAATCCAAAATAACTCAGTTGTGTATTTCCTCGCTGCTTATGTGAATACAAGCAAAACACACAAACACAGATATGGCTGGAGTATTCAGTTTGGCTGATATTGTTAAAAAGTGTTGTGTTGTTTTTTTAAAAGACATTGCAACTAGTTAAAATGCATTTGGAAAGAATGAAATGGACACAGATTTTGAAGAAATAAACATGCTTATTTGTCACAATGTATGCTGAGACCACTAGCACCGCCCTAGAAAAAAACTATTTTGGTAGCTACACAGATACCTATCTGAGATGCTGAGGGTGTGAATTAAATGATTATACTGAAAAAGAACATTGTGCCATTTATTGATACTTCACTTCTTATGTTGCTATTAATAGTAAAATCCACACTACAAATAGGAAAGTACAGTTATGAACTGAACTTCTTTCTCATTTACTTTTATGATCACCAAATCTTTTCCTTTTTCTCTCTCCAGACTGAATGAAGAATGCATAGGACTGATTATTGTTTTATCTGTTGTTGTAGTCATGTCTAGTTTGAATTTGCAAAGCATGCCTGGGCAGAAAGACTGTACACAATATATTACTGGCAACGTCCCTGAAGATAAAGTATAGTCATTTTGGAAAACTATTTTTTTTAATATTATTTTAATCTACTTTGGGGTAAAAATAACAGACAATACTGCAGTTTCAATGCATGATTATACTGCAAGATATTGAAAGTTCTTGCACTGGTTCGGCTATAAGATTTATTATTTCCTCTAATGGTATTATCAATGGACTATTCCTGAAACTGTTGTACTAATAGGTTTACAATGATTGCTTTATACTTTGTAGGCATTGGAGACTTCACTCACCTGGTTCGAGCGGCTGGCTTTTAGTTGAAGCAGTTTTCATCTTGAGTGCCTCCCTAACAGACATGTCACAGCAGGAGCCTTTGTTAGTGTCTTGGTCACTGTCAGCCTGATCACTATCCCCATGCCCGCTGTCCCTCAAGCTGGCTCTTTCTGGGTCCTTGAACGTGGAGCTACTGAAATACATATTGAGAGAAAGAGAAGAGAAAGAGAGAGAGAGAGAGTTCTATTTACTTGTTCCAATTTGAATTGTACTCTCTGGCAAAGCAATTTTGACAAGAATGCAAATGGGGAAGCCGAGAAAGTTATTTAATAGGCCTTACCTTTGAACAAACTGCTGCCTGCTGCCCATGTAATTGGGCTCTGCGGGAAAATTGTCTGTCTGTGAAAGAGAAGGAAAAAAATACGTATAGTTGTACACTGGACAAATCTCCTGCAGAGCAACAAGATTTCCTAGAGGAGAAATGATTAATAATTCAAAAATTCCCTTAATCTTCAGATTTGTACATTTTAATTAAATTGGAAAATGCTGGCATGTAATTATGTGCTCAGAACAATTAAATGATTCCGGTCCACAAATTACCTGCTAAAGTAAACAATGAGTCTCCAATAAGTGGTAGTCTCTGTTAGTAACCTGACAGATGACACAGTTTATGTTTTTTCATTAGTCAGATGTTAAGACTCATGGTTATTGAAGAGAAGAGGAAAAATTACCTAACTTTCACATATTACAAAAGTGAATTATTCAATAATTCTAATTTTTAGTCATAATAACACCATCTTCTGGGATTCAGATGCCCTTACTGCTGTAATACAATTTCACGGGAATAGCTACATTGTTCTTGAACTGGGAGAGTGGGTTGGGGAGGGGAAATCAGTTGTTTAAGTCTGTTTGTGTTTGTGGCTTATGGGTCTTTCCTTTTAAATACTGTTGGAAACAAATACAAGTACTACATATGTTGCTTTTGCCTTTCTAATTAATTTTCATCAGTATTAATAGCAGTTTCAAACAATGCGATTGTATATAAACAAGAACATCAAGTGATTGTTGTTGCTAAGGTGTTTTTTTTTAAAGGAGATAATTTATGAAGTCTGTGATGGTATATTTTTAGCAGCATGAGCTAAGTAACTGTAGAACCAGGAGTATTTACTGCATACAGACCAACATGGAGTTCTGCCAGAGGGAACTGAATTCCCCTTGTATCATCAGCTAAAGTTCTTTGGGAGAAAGAGAGACTGCATCTTTCACAAAACTCCACATACTGTACAGTCATACACGTCACTTCTTGCAGCTGACCTAGTGACAAAGCTTCTACTGTTTTCTGCATCACTTCATATCACGCCATTATGCTCCGCAGAAGCTATGAGTTTGCAACAGCACCTAGAGCATAAGTATCAGTAACACAGAGAGCACTCAATTAATGAAGCAGAAGGCCCAAGGTAAGGTTTAATGTTGCACGGCAAGTGTTTACATAAATGACTGGTCTCTTAAATATTTGTTTTCTCCCCTCCCAACTTTATTTCTTAGGTTTGTTGGGGTTTTTTTGTGTACAAATTTATGAACGTCCACCATTATAAGGATTATTTACTGTTGTGAACAGGACTGCATGGGATATTGGCAGCTTAGAAAAATGTGACCGCATGTGTAAAACCTACTGTTCTATGTTGCTTGCTACAGACCACAGTCAAGCAACTCTCATTCTTAAAAGAATGTACAAAATCAGACTCTCTTTCTTGTGTATCTTAAGTGATTTAAAATAATCCTACAAATTATTTGTTTTTGTAAAAGAGATGTTCCCATCCACCAGTTAATAAAGATTATTTATACTGTGCTTCTTACTGCTTGTTAAGTCTCTGGCACAGACAGTTGGTATTATCAGGCACTTTGTGTTAAGATTCTCAAGCAGTTTCTAATTTCAGATCTGGAGTGTGTATCACTGCGTATGTTGTTTTAAAAATAATTGGATTTTGCACGTGTGAATTTTCTTTAGGATATATAGCAATGAAAGCCATATGCCTGACAGTAGAATCGGACTTCTACTCCTCTGTTTTCAAAACACTGCATAAAATGTTTACTCTTGTGATTCCAAATGACTTTTGTGGTTTTAGGATTGCACAGGGCTATCAAATGCAGGGCTTACAAGAGCTGATTTTATTAGGAGCTAAAAGGTTAAATGGAGTGGTGTTAGGGGACAATTCATGGGTATAACCTATGAAAAGAGGAAACATGTTCTAGACCACGCCTGTCCAATGAGCAGCCCCAGGTAGTGTGCAACCCACAAGTGGTTAACATGTGGCCTCTGGAGTCCCACCTGGCTGCTGCAGCCCTTTTTAATTCAGCTGCAGCAGTAGCCATGGTCTCAGGGCTCCCCTCCCTCCCAGTGTAAGCTCCTCCCTGAGGGGGCAGGGCAGCATGGTGTGGCATGGCACAGCCCACAGTTCCAGAGTATTTGGCATCCTGGAGTGTCCATGAGACTTGGTGCCATAGGGAAGCCTGCTGGGAGGTGAAGGTGAGGTGGGGTGATACGCTGCATGGGTGAGTGCCCAACCATGCACATGTGGTGCAACAGAGTAGGAGAGGGCCACCTTTGTGAATATTGCAATACCCACCTGCATGCCCACCTGCAGGCACATGTGGGACATACAGGCCAGGAGGCCTTACTAGTACTGTCCCCATGGTATTCAGCCCCTGCTAACGCAGCCCCTGCTTTGAGGTTGGACAGCCCTACTCTGCAAAGCTAGATCTCAGGAGTCATGGGTTCTAGTTACAAGTGTCTGCCACTGGCACTCTGTGACCTTGGGCAAGTCCTTAGGGCTAGCTTTTCAGAAGTTCTCAGAACAAGGATCTTTTCAAAAGTACTCTAAAAAAAGAAGTTGCAGGAAATCAAGCTAAATCTATCAAAGTACATGGTACCCAAGTGGGAGCTGTTTGGTGCTTGGCTCTTTAGAAAAACCTGACCTTGCTCACCTAATACAGGGCGAAAACCTTTTTTTACTTTTTTATGTATACAGTATTAACCCCATCCCTTAACAAATAATTTGTAATGTATTTACATCAATGACACTGTTTAAAAATAGGCATTTAAAGGCATAACAATAAAAATCATATAATTAAGGAAGACATATTGAAATAATTTTATAGTTTATGCAATCACTTAAATATTCATGTATAAATTCACATTACATACACCAAAAACAACCTTAACTCTTCCCTCATGCCGTGCCAATATCAGCGTATACAAATATAACCAATTATGGTCTCCTACTCTGCAACATCTACATTTCCATTATGGTCTACACATACTAATGAATTACCACATATCCTCCCAGCATACATGACCTGTAGACCCAACCAAAAACTAACTTCCAAGTTCCATTCATCCCAACCATTATTGGGCAGAGGAAACAACCTCTTACTCTTACTTACATAAAAATTCCTTGTAATCACAAACTACTTAAGATGAAAGGTTACCCAGAAGAGGTTACCCAGAATCAAAAAACCTGAAGCTACATTGTTCACTTTTGACATGGACCACAAAGCTAGTTATAATTTCTATTATTATGCTCCAAATGCAAGAGATGCTATTTTACAGATGTAGATCATATTTCAACTTCGGCTTAAACCACCTCCCAAAAGTGCCCTTTTCAATTTTTTGCCTAAATTCTTCTAACTTCACTTTTCACTCTCAAGAGATATCCAGCTTCTCATATTTGTCTCCCTGAGAGAAATCCATTTCTTTCCCAAGGCTAGTATGTTACTTAATTACAGGAAGAATAAAAGGAGTAACATTATTTAGTACATATTTAATTTCCATTTATATTTCATAGGCTCAGAATTGATTTTTCATCAAAATTTTGCTCTCTTTGTGCACGTAGCTGTAGTTGAACTGACTCCTGGCACAAAAGTTAGAGAAGACCCAGAGCCATATTATGCTGGTATGTATTTTGTCCCTTCTAAGGGTATATTCTGCCTATGCCCCCTACAGCCTTCAGTGCCAAAAGGGACAACAATGTGTAGTGTTCAAGGAACTTGCCAGATTTATATAACCCAGGGATTTGCAAAAGGAAACATAATACATTTTTTAAGTAAGCTTTCTTCATTCTTTGGGCTGCCAGAAGAGCAGAAAAGAGCCAGGGTAGGATCAAAGATCTGACCTAAGATTTACAAAATGTCTAATGTTATAAATATTATGGTGTAAGCATAACTCCTATAGATGGTAATTGGGCACAAGGACACAGGTTATTTTTTTTAATATTGGGTACAATGCTTAATATATACACATTTAGAGACAGTTTGAGAGTATTCATTTTCATTCTTCTAAATATTCAGGGGGGCGTTTTTTAACTAACATTCTTTGACACACATACATTTGAATACAAATATTAAAGTGCACTTGGTACTCCTCACTTATTTAATCTAGTGTAAGTAGTGAAAATATTGTCTTTAGAAAAATAAAGTTTCATAGTTTCAGGGTCGGAAGGGACCTAATAGATCTTCTAGCCCGACCTCAAGTCTTGGCAAGTTTTCCTATGCCAAGTTTAAGGGGCGAGAAAAGTAGGGTTTAAACTGTAATTGCAGTCTTAACTCTGGAGCTGCTACTGAAAATTTCCATACTCAAAGTAATTGTTACTGACTTGCAGCTCAATAATACTTTGACCAATTTTCTTCATATTGTATACTGCAGAAAAAACAAACAGGTGGGGGTCATCCTAAAATATATCCATTGCTACAAAAGAATAAACATAATTATTAGATAAACCACTAATACCTGAATAGCTGGATGTAGAATCCTCCTCCTTTATTTCCATAAACATAAACCTTACCATTTAAACTAGTGGAAATCCCACATCAGTGATAAGCTATATCAGAGTACTGTAAGCTGCAAGCAACCACAAGAGGGCAAAATGCTTACATATACTGCATATTCATTAATGATAAAGTTGAGAGGGTGGGAGTTTCCAAAAAGACTAAGGGAATTAGACACTGAACTTGCATTCAACTTCAGAGAGATTTGGATACCTTAATTCTTTATGTTGATTTGACAATCCCAGCCTTACCGAATAGTCAGACATTTAAAAAAAAAGTGTTATATATATATATATGCATATATATATATAAAACCCCCTTGAAATTCCATGTTTTCATTAAACTTCACTGGAAATAATTTCAGCAGATACATTAATCACATCATTTTATACTGCATAACTGTAGTTCTAAGAAAACTATAGATTTTGAAAATGCTATTACCTATAAAAAAGGCCTTTCTTTTGCACTTTGACTACCCAGATTTTTCTGGGTGATTAAAGTGATAGATATTATTAGTACAATATCTTATGTCTATATTACATACTAACTTTTGAACTCAGTTACATGGAACAGAT